AAACACAGCGCTACCGAAGTTTCTGCCTCTGCACAAGTGAAACGAGAGGGTTAGACCCCAAGAGAACAGGTGAGGTGAATGAAGTTTAAGGTCAGAGTTTTACTCTGTTATATTTAACGTTGCAAGGTCAGATCAATGATACAGAACATGAAGAACAAACTGAGGCATGATTAGAGGATCTAATGTTGCTTTTACTAAAGCAAACCCTACACCACCTTCATCTTAGCCCAGTATTTGTAACCTCACCATCATTGACACACTTACACACACCTGAGATAAGCTCTTTAAGCATGACCATGACCATCTCATCTGATCAAAGAAAAGGATCACTTTCATAAGTTCACCACCTCTTTTCATCTTCATACACAAACTGAATCCACAGACTGTACAGGTGTATCACACACACATAAATACCTGCTAATCAGTGTGACATCCAATCAAAATCCTCAGATGTTACTCAGCAAACCTGGAGTTCCGCCTTCTTGGACAGTCTGTTAGTACAGTAACCTCACAGCAGCCATATTATCGATCAGATGATGTCATTAAAAATGCTCCAACAGCACAAACACGGTCCAGTGGTCCAGTTCAGGTGAAGTTAGCAGACAGCTAGCAGCTACAGCCGGCTGTGTCACCATCCACCCATCAGTCAAAAAGGCCACGCCCCTAACAATGCAAACTCCTCATGAAGAGGAAATTATTTAAAAATTATCAACAGAGACCAAGCAGTTTGTGTATTGTAAAAGTGTAAATGTGTAAACTTGTTTATTTGTACTGTAAAGGTTTAACATGGGAGTGTATGGAAACCACTCAGTGCTGCCTCTGCTGGACACCAGAGGAAGTGCAAGAAGATTGCAATAACTGTTTATGAATTACAGATAACTTTAGTCCCACAAAAATAAAATAGACCTGTTGAAATGAGATTTCCTCTTACTTTTTTACCTGCTGATCAGTTATGCTAAGCTAAGCTAAGCTGAGCACAAATGTGAATAACTAAATCTGAAATGTTCCCTGTGCTGCAATCATCACATCTTGCCAGCAGAGCTCCCTCTGGAGAGGATTTAGACATTCATGGAAGCCTGAGGGGAAACTGATGGTATTAGCGCAGGAAACAGGAAAGACAGGCTGAAGCAGACAGACACGCACCTGAAACACCATCATGTTTCCTCTCTGTGGGAGCAAAACGCCATGTTTGTGTGAGCCATGATGAAGACTCTCTCTCATCAATGGGGCCTCCACTTCTGAGGCCGTCCTTCTGCGCCACACCATCTCAAACCCAATATCATTCAAATATATATTTAGACAGAACTTTATAAGAAACCATTTATGAACGAGCTTGCAACCGATCCGCTCGTCTGCACCAGGATGATGTGATCAAATTTATTACAGCTCAAACTAAAGCTGACCTTAGTTATTATGACGAAAAACAAAGACTAGAAAAAAAATCAATCATCAGAGACATTTTCTAATGTCCGTGCTTCCTTAGACTCATCGTTTCACTTTCTGAAGAAACAAACAGCTGCTCATGAAGTTATTCTAAAGAATAACTCACATTTAATCCACAAAGCATTAAAAACTCTGGTATTTTAATATGTTAATTAATCAGTTATTTTACAGATCTAAGAAAGAAAATCCATAAACGAGGCATTCAGGAGCATCAGGGAGATTTGAGTTTTACACATTTATACATTTATACAGACTCTCGCTCCCACCTTGACCCTTTCATGTCCCGTTTCTCAGATGAGACAAACTTTATGTACAATATTCACACTGAGGACGTCTCGTCAGTCCGTGCTGTTTCCTGATCTCAGCTCAGTCCAGCTGTTCTTCACATCAGGCCGCAGCCAAGCAGCTCGTCCCAGGGCTGCCGCCGCTACTGCTGTGCAGGAAATGGGAGGAAGATGATTCAGGAAGGAGACTGGCTCCCGGGAGGATTATGTGGAGATGGAGGAGTAAGCTGAAGAGGCGCTGACCGGGGAGTACTGGACCGGAGTGTACTGGATCAGAGGGACGGCCAGGTCCAGGTACTCCTGCAGAGGCAGAATCACATGTTAGAACAGGAATTGGAAGCTCTGGAGACTTTAGCTCTGTCACATGACACCAAAACTCGCTTCTAACTTTTCTTTGCTCAACGTCACATCAATGCTCTCT